GAGCAGGGATCCCGATGCGGGACTCGATCCCGGGACTCCAGGATCATGACCTGAGCCGAAGGCAGTCGCTTAACCAACTGAGCCACCCAGGCGCCCATTTACTGCAAGTTCTATTGGACAGTGCCGTGTGAAATTTCAAATTCCTGATCTTAGGCAAACATGGCCTTAAGGATCTTAAGGCCATGGTGAATTTTCCTTAAAAGAGGGATTGTGATGTCTTGACATCATCTTGGCTACAAAAGCGTATGTCAAAGTTGAAGCTGTTGGCTACTGGAATCTGAGTGACCTTTGCTAAAGATGGAAGGAGCACATTGACCTGAAGTGCCCAACATCAGGAAGAAGTTTCAGCTTCCAAAAATGGATAGGCAGGCAGGTACTTTTCAGAGATTTTATAATCCTTTATGTTACGGATATCTTTTTAGAGAGTGGGAGAACTATTTATCACTTTCTCTCTTCTGCATAGATGACTATTAACTTGCAAATTCTGCCTCTGTTCTAAAGAAAAAGTGATACGTGATACCATTATGAGATGGCAAAGTAAGTTTACACTCAACTTTTCTATCCATTGGTATTACCATTTAGGACATGTGTTAAGAGATTGAACCAAAATTTGGGGATGTGGACATGCAAAGTAGCAGGGATCATAGCAGGAGAGAGAATATTAATGCACAGGATCTTGAGTTCCTGAGTAACAATCTTATCTGCAGAGGTTTTTTTTTTTTTTTTTTTAAAGGAACCGCCGAAAGGTCACTTTAAATTTTAACCTTGAGGACATTCACTGAGAAGGAGCCATAGCTTATTAGGCCTTTTTCTTATGAATAGGCCAGATTGTCATTAGAAATGATAGGTCAAGCCACATATATGATGATTTACACAAAACTGAGAAAATCTGCTTTAACCTTAAATTACCTGGATAGGTTATATGAAGGTGTCTCTGATCCTATCTGAATTTCCTCAGTTCTCTCACTTTTTCAGTAACATGATGATGATGATGATGATTCAGTATGTTATTGCTATGTAGACTGCAGTGACTTATTCTTTAAAATTTTACAATTCATCCATATTCTGTACAGTAACAAATAATTGAAAATTTAAAAATTACTTTCCCTAAGCAAGAAGATAAAAAACACAACGCAACTGGAACATTCCAGACTGACCAAAATTATTTATTGATTTAGTATTTTAAGGATGTTCATTGACCCCTGGTGGAAAATGAAGAGTGGTACTTGAATTTGAGGTTGTCAGTATTTTATCCTTCTCGTCTAGAGCAGGAGACACTTGATTTGTGTGGTATGAATACAATTCAGAGAGGAACGTGAAGTATATAAAAGTTCAGGGAGTCCTTCAGTCTAGAACAGTCCATGTTGTTTTGTTGTCTGAATGATGGTAAGCAGGTCTGGACAGTAAGTCATGGGTGTTATTGCAAGAAATTTCCAGCCAGTCTTCATAAACAATCTTGATTTGGAAAGGAAAAGGGAAACTGAGTTAAATGTTGACTGCATCTTTTCGGAAAGAAAGCTGGGGAGGAAATAATGTGAAGTACAAAAGAAGAAAAAGCATAGAATGAACAGCACTTCGAAAGTAAGCCATTTCCTACTTGTAATAATCTAGTTGCAAGTGCTTAACTTTGAACTATGATAACCTGGTTTTCTAGAGCAGTAATTGTTAAAAACTGTATCAATTAGTCAAAGAACTTAGGCTCATACTTTTATTAGTGTGATGTTCCAGCTAAATTCATTAACTAGTCCCTGGCTTGTTGAATCTCCACTGCATAATTACAGTACAATCAAAGCTAAGGTTTACAGAGGGCAGCAAACATCTCAGAAATTTTTGCTTCTACACTTATACAAAATGCTCTATTTCCTTTTTTTTTTTTTTTAAAGATTTTATTTATTTCTTGAGAGACAGCAAGAGAGAGATAGAGAGAGTGCACAGGCAGGGGGAGCAGCAGGCTCCTTGCTGAGTATGGAGCCTGATGAGGGGCTCGATCCCAGGACCCTGGGATCATGACCTGAGCTGAAGGCAGACACTTAACAACTGAGCCACTCAGGCACCCCCCAAAAATGGTCTATTTCCAAGTAACCCACTTCAGGAGTTGAGATGGGTTGAAAAGAGTTGATATTTTCTGGTTAATATAAATAAATCTTAACTAAGAACTAATACTAATTATGTTTACAGCACATAAAGTGAAGCTGTTGAATTTTCTAAAAACACAATATCAAGAAAGCCTTATATAATAAAAAGCAAAATATTTACCTTGAGAGCTCCATTTAATTGGACATGATATGTTTGACAAAAGCTGTGGGCATAATATAGACAGTTTAAGTTAGAAGACCATCAAGTTTAATGAAAGAGAGATTTAGCAAGTAAGTTCAATCTTAATTTTTCTCAGCGATAATAGGAGCATTTATTGTTTTAAGCTCGGTGCAGTCCACAATTCTTCATCCTGGATTCATGGCTTTTCTCCTGACTTTGTAAATTTCATTTTTTTGGGAAGAAGTGGTACATTCACATGGTTAAAAGTTTTCTTTAGAGTATAAAAGAGCTTATAACAAAAACAGACTGTTCCTCACCACTGTCTCCCATCTACCTAGTTTCTCTTTACAGAAAAGTTGGTGGAGCTATTATACATGTATAAGAAAATACAAATATCTGTTTCTAAACCTCTCTTTCACCCCAATGGTGGCATACTCTACACACTCTTTTGCATTTGCTTTTCTCACTGAATGACCGTAAACAAGAGTATCATTATTTTGGGGGCACTGTAGGGAATTTCATTCTGTAGATATACCAGAATCTCATTGATACATCCTGTATTGGTGGACATTAAGTTGTTCAAATATTTACCAACAACACGGTAATGAATAACCACGTATCACTCATTTCACTTGAGTGCAAGTATATCTAAAAACCACATCCCATGATGTAGATTTGTTAGGATTATTAATACTACCTCACTGTATCGGGGTTTTATTGATTGACATTCCCAACAGGAATGCATGAGATTACCTGTTTTCACACACTCTCCTCAACCCAAAGTGTTGTCTTTTAATCTTTGGCAATCATCTTATTGAAAAATGGTATCTCCATGTAGTGTTAATCTGCATTTCTTTTATTAGTAGTGAAGTTTAGCATATTATATTGATAGATAGTTTTTATTTCTTTTTCTGCGAATTGTTTATGTACTTGTTAATTTTTCTATTGGGTTGTAGTCTTTTTATTAATTTGCAGTAGTTTTTGTTTTAATTAGGAAAATGAGCTTTTGCTGATACTGATTACTTTTTTTATGGTTTGCTATTTGTCTTTTGACTTTGCTTCTGGTGGCTTTTGCCATATGGAGTTTAAAAAAAATTATGTGGTTGCATTTATCAAAACTTGTAATGCTTCTGGGTTTTTATCAGCATTACAAACACCTTCCCACTCTCAAAGTTATAAAATAATTTGTCCATGGCTTTTATGCTTTCAGCTCTTACATTTAAATTTTTGAACCGTTTGAAATTTATTCTGGTATGAGATCCAGATATGACTTTATTTTCTAGATGACTCTTCACTTGTCCAAACAATATTTATTAAATGATTCTTCTTTTATGTAATGTATTTATGGCAATAACCAAATGTAAAACGTTTATGGGAAAAAAGTAAAGTTTAATCAAGATTGTCAGTGACGATGTGCTTGGCTGACTGCTTTCCTTTTCTTCTGTCCTCTCCTCTCCTCTTCTTTCCCCCTCCCTCCTTTCCTTCCCTCTCTTCTCTCTGCTTTTCTTACTTTTTCCCCAGTCATTAGACTTCATAAGTCTACATTTACATCAAAGCTATCAGCATAGCTTTGTTGAAAAGTGGCCAGGTTAGTCTTTTTGGGAGGATAGATAAGTTTCTCAATTTTACTGGAAATTTTCAAATTTACAGATTATATCATGTAATTTTATTTTGCATCTTTATTTTGTGGGGTGTGTTGTTTTTCAGACCCCCTAGGTGAAGCTGCTGTAAATTGGTAGCAGGACATAGATAGTTGGCCATGAGATGACTTTGATTTAAGCAAAAACACCAGACAAGAAGAAGAACGAAATTTTAGCGCCGGCCCTTCCATTTATGATGTGATCTTCATGCAGTAACTAGACCTCTTTGGCCCTCAGCTTCCTCATTTTCATAATTGCTTGCTGTAAAGGATTTTGAGATCTCTCCAACTTTCATATTCTATTACACTTCATTCTGACACAAACCCTGTCTATCTTACAGAGATTTTATAAAGATCTAGAAAGAAAAAAATACACGTGAAAACACATTGTAAGCTGTATCACAATGCATAGGCATGTCAAAGCCCACTGGAATAAAAATCTTAGGTATACAGTCAGACTCTTAGAGTTATTGTATAATTGATTGATAATAATAAAAAAAAAAACATGAGTATGTTCAATGAGAGAAGCAAAGACAAAAAAGTCATTTTAAGCTCACAAGAAGTCCATCAACAATGCAATCCATTAAGAGTTGCTGTGAGCACCAAGCACATGAGATGGTACCTTCATAGTTGATGCAGCCATTGGAGTCTTCCTGACCCGCCATCAGGGCTTCCACTTCCTCCTCTTTCATTTTTTCACCTGATGAAACAAAAACTCTTTGCTCAGAAAGAAGGCCAGGGGATATTTTCTAAATTCCATCATAAGTGATCAGTTTTGGGTTTCTGGAGACTATGATTAAGCTCTTGGAGGACAGAAATCAAGCCCATCCTGTTCCTCTGGTACTTAGTACATTGTCAATGAAATGTTTTTAAGTGAATGAATTAAATACATATTATCTCTGATCATCAAAACTCTATCCTGTAAGAACTACGATGTTTTACTTTACTTATTTATTACTAGTAACTTAAGTTACCATTTCCCCCAGACAAACTCGTTGACACTGAGGCCAGTGGAAATGGTCATTAATTTTTGACTGTTCTTTTTCCTCTTTTAGCTTTACCCCCTACCTGTTTTGTTAGAACTTGATCCCCCTAATCATGCTCTTTCCTATATATTCTGTCCTATTAAGTCCATTGAAATAAATTTTCCTTACCCAATGTGGCTAAAACATGGCGGAGTTCAGCACCCATGACTGTGCCATTGCCCTCCTTGTCAAAGACACGCAGACCCTCAACAAAGTCTTCATAAGTGCCCTGGTCCTTGTTGTTGGAAATAGCTTGCATCATGGGCAGAAATTGTTCAAACTCAATTTTCTTGGCATTCATCTCTGGAAGAAATTGCAATTGAGAGAGTTATTAGCTACCATAAAATGTCATTTCTAAATCACAAATTAAACTTGAGAGTTCATTCCAGAAGATCTAAAATATCTTCATATAGCTTAAATTTCAGTTGGTAAATTGCTGATGACAAAAAATTGGTAATAGATAATAACATGAGCTCTGGAGTCCTCGTGCTTAAGCTTTTATCCCCAATCCACCATTTACAACTATGTGATCATGGGCAACTTTCTTCATCCTTTTGTACCTCAACTTTTTCACCTGTAAAATAGAGATTCCTCATAGTGTTAGTGTGAGCACTAAATGAGATAATACCTGCAAAATATATTATAATACCTGGGATAAACTGAGTGCTGAATAATTGTTAGCTACTTTTTATTAGTATGGTCAATTTAATATTTTCTATAAATACCAGAGAAGCAATGCAAAAAATATACTGATACAACAAACCCATTAGCATATAAATACAGTAAAACTTAACTTAAAATATATGCCTCCTTTGTCCTGAGCTTTTGTAGAGCTTTCAGTTTCCTTAAATTTTAAGTAACTTTAAAAAGAAGCCTATGAAGAGAGTGTGTATGTCAAATTCCTTGTGATCTCCTGACTTCTTTGCAGTTTAGAGGTCTGGGGATGGTAAGGTTTTCTTCAGTATGGTAAGGTAAATTGCATTCACAACAAAAGTATCAAAGAGACTATCCAGATGGATGTGAATGGATAAAGTTAAGTAACCCTAAAATTAAAATTCCCTTTTACTAGTCTTTCCTCATAGAATAAAAATGGAATAATATTAAAAAGATCAAACTTGAACACTGAATAAATGAATATTTACCTAATAATTCTAAAGAAGATGGATGTTTTGGTAAGTTAGAAAGTGACACCTACAGAATAAGATCTAGCTGTTGTTCTCTCACTTTATCTCATGCTCTCAGCTACCTTTTGCATGATTTACCTGGACATTTTCCTCTAAAGAAAATGAAGTTTGAGAAAAATTCCAGGAGACTGATTTAGAGGTAGAATCAAGCCCATCCTGTTCCTCTGGTACTTAGTACATTGTCAATGAAATGTTTTTAAGTGCATGCATTAAATACATATTATCTCTGATCATCAAAACTCTATCCTGTAAGAACTACGATGTTTTACTTGAAACAAGTAACAAGGTTTGCTTGAAATCAAATCCACTCCTTCCCACTTTGGTAACAAAGGAGAATAGTCTTTTCAGTTATCAAGAGAAAAATTAGATTATTTGCTTTTTGCTTTCCCCTCTTTTTTTCCCCTCATGGCAAAGATAAACAGCCCAAATATCTACTTGAAAAAATTTCATTGTTGTCTCATGTCTTTTGTTCAGGGTGGTATTCTCCAATAGACTATTACCCTTTGCCATGAACCACTGGGATCAGAAAAATTTTTTCTTGTTCCAGACTAATAATTGGATTACTGTATCGAGCAAATGACTTCCACGATGGTGCCACTTACATATCTCAGTCTTTTGTCGCAGGATTTGCTTGAGGGGTTTATAGGTTTGGGCTTAGATTTTTAAGTCTTCTTGTAGTTCTTTGGAAATAGAAAATACTCTTATTACAGTGACATTCTGTCGATTCTTAATTAGGAGAGCTGAGTTAATTTTCAGATGGTCACAGACTGAGCACTGGGCAAAGTCAGCAGGTATTTTCAACCTCCTGAGAGCATTGAGATTTTGTTTCCACAGCTTTTGTCAGTGAGTTGCTACTGAGTTGCTTACAAAGTATATTGTGTTTTAGCCATATTTAACATTTTTGTCAAAATGTGTTTTTGCCTTTGAAGTTTTGAGAAAAATGTGCAGATTTGGATATTATTTCATTCATTAATCTTTAAATTATGAACCTTAGGTAGGATGATGATGATGACAATGTTAGCTTTAGGTATTATTTCATTAGCATGAAATTTTATCATGCTTACAAATTCTCAAAGGAAGGTTAACTTATTTTATGAGGAAAAAACTGAGATTCTAGACAGCCAAGAGGCACACTTACCATCAAGAGCAAATTAAACTCTATTCTGTGGATCTTATTTCTCAATAAATTTCTCTTTCTCTTACATACATGCGCGCGTGCTCTCTCTCTCTGTCTCTCTCTCTGTCTCTCTCTTTCATGTGCGTGTGCGAGCTTGCTTCCCAGCTGCTTGGTTACCTTCATTGCTGGGGTTTCCCAGCACCTTCTTGACTTCCGCATTGGTGGGATTTGTGCCCAGAGCTCGAAGGACATCACCGACCTGGTTTAAGGTGATCTTAGATTCACCCGTTCTATCAAACAGGAGGAACGCCTCCTTGAATTCTGCAAGAAGCAAGAAGCATTAGGGTGCTTTTTTTCTCCTTCAGAACTATAAATTACCCCTAACTTCATCAAGGATCCAGTTCACTCTCTCCTCTGTTTTTCAACTTTTGTAACCACTTACAAATCTCCAATCTACCATCAAGAATCCAGTTCACACTCTCCTCTGTTTCTCAATTTCTGTGACCACTTAAGTTATCCTTGGACTCTCCCTTTTCCTAGCTCAAACTGCCATTGGCAATCCTTTTTGACATTTCTTTTTTGGACTGCTTTAAAACAGCACTTCCAACTTCGAATCATATATTATTATTAATCAGATATGGAAATTGAAGCTCCTTGTCATATTTATTCATATTTCCTTCATCTGCCTGGGAAGCAGGACTGGGTTAAGAAATTCTGAGGTCTTGAGAAATCTTAAGAACTCCTCATAATTAAGAAAGTTAATAAAATTTCAAGAAAACAAATTTTCAATCAGGGATGTGTTACATGAGGTTAATCCAGATTTCTCAAATTATTTAGAAAAACCTCCTCTTGAAGCACAAATTTCCTAGACTCTCCCCTTGACTAGTTATCTTCAGGAGCAACTTCGTTTTTCAGGAAAAAAAATTAGAAAGGTGAAACAAACCTTTAAGGTCTAGAGTGTCATTTAACCAGTGTATGACTTTAATTGGCTCCTAGTATAATCAGTTTGGAAGGAGAAATATTTGTTTGGATCTATCACTATGATAATCTTTTTAAACTTTGCTCTTCTTCAGATGATACATATGACAACATGTTGCTATATTAGCTTTAGATTTTAAGTATACATTTTTAATTAAAATTTTGTGTAGATAATTGTAAGTTCACAGGTAATTTTAAGAAAAAATACAGAGAGATCTCTTAAATACTCTGTCTAGTTTCCCCCAGTAGTAACATTTTGCAAAGTTATAGTATACTATCACAACCAGAATGTTCACATTGGTAGACTCCACCAATTTTATTCAGATTTTTCTAGGTCAATTTGTACTTACATGTGTGTACATGTAAGTACATATTTTTAAAGTGTTGTCTATTTTTATCACAATCACTCCATTGCTAACTTTCCCTAAATTTTGTCATTCTCTGTTGGTGGAGCTATTTTGGCCTTTCAGAATTAAGAAGTGTATATCAAAAAAACAGAAAAGGGTAGTACTATGGATTAAGGGGCCAGAAATGACATTTTAACTGAAACTTCTAAACATAATATAATTAAATTTTCTGGGGAACCCAAAAGTACTGATGGCAACTTGTTGGAGTTAATCCTAGCAACACTCAAAAAACCATTTGTGAAGGAACTGGTAGAGCTGAAAGAAGTGTATTTGGGCCATTAGTGACCTCAGATCAAAAGATGCCATCTAGATAGATTACTCAGCAAAGTACCCTATTTTATCATCCGTCCATCCCCTGATCTAAGGTTGCACCAGACATTATATTCACAATCAACTATAGATCGTGTCGCTACTGTTTGCTAAAATTTCCCCTTCAGATTCTGTGCAATTTGACTGTAACAGATCATTCCCCTAAACTAAAAAGCATGCTATAGGCACAGTGGGGTCATTAGTCAAATATTATTTTTTGTCTTTCTAAGGGACCTGTGAAACTGAACTATTCTTGTTATTGGCTCCAGGCTTTCATGCAGATTGCTCAGAGGGCTCACTATTACCCTGGTCCCATGCTGATACAGAGATAGGATTTTATGGGCTGTAATAGAATCTCTCTGGCATTAACCCTTTGTTGATTTAAACACCTAGGACAGAAAGATACTGCTCTTCCTATCTCAGATTTTTAAGATTTATTCTCTTGAGTCTAGAATAATGGATTAGCAAACTACTGCCTACAGGCTGGGCACCTCTTTTTGTAAAATAAAGCAAGATTGGAATACAGCCAATAATACATTTATGTATTGTTTATGACTGTTTTTAAACCTCAGTGATGGAGTTGAGTTGTTTTCACAGAGACTGTACTCCCAATAAACCCTAACATACTGACAATTTGGCCCTTTACGAAAAAAAATTGACAGCCCCTGGGCTAGACCAACACTCTTCTAGACCTTTTTATGACAATCAAAATGTTCTATTTTTGGGCTGCCCAAAAAACCACCTGTGGCCCCTGAGTGCTGAAATATGACTAGTGCAACTGAGAAAATAGATTTTTAAATGTATTTATTTTAATTAATTAAAATTTAAGTTTAAATAGCCACATGTGGCCAAGTGGCAACTCTACTGGACAGCACAGGACGTAGACCTTTAGAATGTGAATAATTTTGTTTTTTTTTTTCTTCTTCTTTCCTTGCAACCTGTGATACCTTCAAATAGAGCAGCCATGACCAAAACTCTTTAATCACTGAACAAGGAAGGAAACGAAGGAAGTTTTCATTCATTTTTGAAAGCATTGTGTTTCCATTTAAATTTCAAATGCTTCCATTTTTTTTCCTGGCAAGAGAAAACCAGTCCACCACACCAACATTTCCTGAACCTCTATACCTAAAACCTAGTTCATGTATGTAGTTATAGGTTTAATGGTCAACAGTAAGTCCTTCTGTCCCTGCAGGGGTTTTTAAGTCTTCTGTTGCTTTGTCCCACCAGAATCTGGTCAAAATGACACTGTAAATGAGATTTTTAAGAGGACTGGGTTGCAGTAGCTGATAATGTAGCAGCATCACTAGTTAAAAATGCATTAAGAGTCAAACAAATTAGAGTTACCACTGTTTTCAATAATAAAAACAACCAGTCCTTTGTAGTATAATTTCAAATGCTCTTGAGTTCTGAGCCATCAAATCACCTAATCTCTTGTCATGAGACCATCAGCCATGATGTAGATACATGTAAGTTTCTACTACAGCAAATATGCTTCTTTTTTTCTTAATTGATGTCCAAACATGAATATTTTAGATATTGAAACAGACTGAAAATGTGGAATTTTTTAGGTAGAGAACCGAGTATTTGCATAGGTACTTATTAAACACCTATAATTATAATTATTTATATATTACATATCATAACATATACATACTAATTTTTATGACCAATATCCTAATTTATATGCTATCATTCAACAAATTTTTTCTTCCTCTCCCTTCTATAGATGTACTTCTGTATCCGTTTCTTTGAACTTAGGCCACTTTCACTCCATAAAGCATTCTCCCCTGTACTTCTAGAGAACAAACACGTCTTGTGGGGCATGGGATCTCTTGGATCCAAAGGCCCGAAGGAGAAAAAGTGGAAGTGTTAGGGAAACTGCTCAGATTCTCTTGAATCTGAAGAGTTTGAAGTCTTCTGGTTAGTAACTGTTTTTATGAATTTTTTAATTAGTTTAAAGTAATACCAGATTTTGATCCTGTTACTAATACTTTGGGTCCTTGAGCAAGTCCTATCAGCTCTTTGAGAGACTGTCTTGTATTTCTAAAGACAGACCCGGAGATGTCTAATGTTCCTTGCAGTTATATGATAAGTTACTCCTCCTTCTTTGTCTCTGAATTTACTTTTATTCTATATCCACTTCACCTGCTTCTCTCAACTCATGCCCATTGAAATTATGTAGGTCTGGGAATTGGGCAGTTTCACAGTTCTAGATTGAACAATTCAGACCTGCCAATCTCTCTTTAGGGATTTGATGAACAGATTAGCCATTCAAAATCTCCAGCCTTTTTTGGGGTAATATATATGGTATTGCCTACTGTATCAAAATGGTTTTATGTAGAAATCAGTGAATATAAGGACCTATTTTATGGTATCTGTCTTTTGTTTGCTTAAACCTTTGATTACTGATTATAAGCAGGGGGTTCACGTTGAGAAAACTTAGAGTGATTGAGAGCATTTATATTTAGAGTGGCAACACCAGTGGGGATGATTGGGAAGAGCTAATCTCATCCCGAGGGAGTCGGTTTTCTCACATGCCGCCTTTATGAGTGTGCACATATTAACAACTGTATCTTTTAAACTTACCATCCTGCTGTTCCTTAGAGAACTCGATCTGTTAGAAAGAAATTAACCACAAAGAATATTTTAACCAAACAAAAATATCCTGATTTTTAAGTGTATCCAGGCTCATTCCCTGAGTAATCATCAAAGTAAGTTCCAAAAGTAAGCCAACTTTTCAGAGTTCAGGCTTAGCTTGGACACTAACAGGTTGAGCCATGCAGAAACATGCCTTAGAGATAAGGGATATTTCAGAAACAAGGCAGTGCTCTGCCTACGTGTGGAGTAGAGAAGCTCAATTCACTTACCAGCAATCTGGTCAGCGCTGAAGGACTGCAGTGGCGGGAGAGAGGGAGAAAGAAAGAAACAACTAGTACTCTTTCAAATGCATTGACAGAAGGATGAGTGCTCGCTGTTCTGAGATTTTTAAGAAGACATGTAGGTGTCATAGAATAAGAAGGTTGCCTTAGGATACTTTCGAAACTAGGAAAAATAAGCTATTGCGAAAGATAGTTAGGGAACATCTCTCTGTATCTTCATCAATGAATCAATGATTTAACAAATGCTAAGTCAAATAACTTCCTGGAATAATATACTAGCCTGTGATGTATTTAAGATATGTCTAATACAGATACCCTGCATTCAGAAATACAGATACACTGCATTAAAAAGATCTCCTTAATTCTTTCTTCTATTTAACTAGTAGCTTTTTGCTCAATGTGTCACAAGTAGTTTACTTAATTTTAGTTATCTTCATCAGACAGTTTTTAAAGGTATAATATTTTGCTATACTAGCAGTTTCTGCTCCCCGCCCCGCCCCCCCCCGGTTAGATAGAATAAATGTGATATAGCAAAAGTTAGTGAAGCATAAAGTACTGCTTTGGGGAGTAAGATGTATTTTTTTCAGTTAACATAATAGCTTGAATTAATCTCTTCTATCCTCACCCCACCTCAACCAAAAGCAAAAGCAGGTTCTATAGACTTACACCGAATATGTTCTCCCCTCAATTCTGTTCCTTGTCTGCCTTTCTACTCAAAAAGGTCATATGCACGATTCATATCCTCCTATAAAGGAAAAACCGTTTTCTCCTAGGACCCACCATGGCAGAGCCTCTGGGCTGCGGAACAGTGGCAAAGCTGAAGAGTGAGTTGAGGGCCGCTCCAGTCCCTGAGTGGGGCCTCCTTCCCTGAGGCTGCCTTTTATTGCTGGGGAAGCTGTGACCTCACAGCTAGCATCAGGTTTCAGAGACACATGGCCACTCCCTTTGGAGGGTTCTTTAGCTTTCTTAGGGCAAAGGGAAGGAGGGCTCTGTACCCTGAGGGCTATTTTTAGGCAACCAGAACCTAGGAGTGGACAGCCATAATGAGACCGAAGTCTGTCAGTACTTTTATGGTATTTATCCCTGAGACGGTCTCTTGGAGCCTCTTCCTTTAAGAAGCTTCTTACTTGTTCAAGTGCAGAGGAGCTTAGAATTTCCTTCACACTCAGGCTGACCCCTTCTCTTGGTGAATTATGGACTTTGCAAACTTCGAGTCAGCAAGTTTTGATATTTAATGGAATTTTTTGGATGGGACTGGCTTGGGGTTTCAAATGGCAGTGACTATAGAAGGAACATCCTCTGGAGCTTTGTCCCTTGTGGTAAAGTTCAGAGGACTTGAAAAGGCCATGCGCATTCTTCGTGTTTCTTAGGGTTCACCCAAGTGACGATGCGGTCCCTTCTTGAAACCTCTCATTAAAGACCACTCTTTTGCAAGTTGTGCTCTGAGATGTAGAGAGTGTATCTAAGCCAGGGGTGGTTTGGAGCTCCCATTTTCACCATTCTCCTTTAGCTTTCTTACACCAGGGGTGGGTATTTTCCTCCATCCTCAGTCTCCAGAAAGACCCAAAGCAGGGGCTGTTGAATGCCAATTTATACTTTAGGATTTTAAACATGTCTATGGGATTGGCTGGTAATGGGTTTTCATGGCATTTTACCTGAAAATAGGGGGCAACTCCCTTCTGAGAATGGTACTGTGAAAAGTGATACTAAGAAAGATAAGTCCTAGCATGTCCACTAAAGTTCAGACATGTTTATCGGTGTTCTACATACCTAAAGCAGGTTATAGGTGTAAAGAATGTTGGAGATAAATTTTGATTTGAGTGCTGTCTCAGCAATTGTTTTTAAAGGAATGGTCATGTCAAGCATGAAGATTCCCCCTGCTAGACAGATGAATACTTTACAGCTTTCCCTCAAGCCATTTAGGAAGAAATCAATATTTAAATGCATATCACTTTTTTTCATATCATTTTTGTCCAAAGTTTACAAGTAGTGAAAAAAATCTCATAGGGTCAAGATGAGGATTAAAAACATTATTTAAAAAATACTACTACCCAGGAAAACATATTTTCATAAATAAACATTTTGAGAGTTTATGAGAAATGGAAGCTAATAGAAAAATTTAAATGCTTTAAATTATTAGGGGGAATGGAAGGGAGGGACAAAGGTGGAAATTTGTCACCTTTGATAATTGTGTAATTTGGAATCTCATGATTTTTTTCCTTCAAGTTTTTATTTAAATTCAAGTTAGTTAACATATATGCTAAAATTGGTTTCAGGTGTAAAATTTAGTGAGTCATCACTTACATGTAACACCCAGTGCTCATCACAAGTACCCTCCTTAACGCCCATCACCCATTTAGCCCATCCCTTGCCTACCTCCCTCCATCAACCCTGGAGTCTCATGATTTTTGATGCCCAAATTAAAGCCATGAGAGCAGACCATGTTTCTTTGTGTTCTTTTTAGTCTTGTAATTATATTTATGTATTGTGTCATTAAATTTGAATTGCCCTGTGATTAATATTGAGAACTAGTATATATCTTTAGTAGAATTAATAACTACAAATAAATAAGCCATCAAAATTGCCCTACAGAATGCTCATTTTTTTTTTTTTGAGTAGAAAAATGTGTCCTCAAATTCATATAAAATATCAATTTGTATAAAATCTATGGAGTAAACTGGAAAGTCATTTTAAAAGTTGTATTTATGCTATAAATAAGCTATTCCTAACCACTTGGATATTATGTAAAGGTTTGCTATTATTATTATTTTTTTAAGATTTTATTTATTTATTCATGAGAGACAGAGAGTGAGAGAGGGGCAGAGGGAGAAGCAGGCTCCCAAGGAGCAGGGAGCCCGATGTGGGACTCGATCCCAGGACCCTGAGATCATGACCTGAGCCGAAGGCAGTCGCTTAACCAACTGAGCCACCCAGGCGCCCAAAGGTTTGCTATTATTAAAATAGAAGTGACAGGCAGTTGTCAAACTATTTCACTCTATTTTTTCTGTATATCTTTACCACAGAGAAGATCAGAGTTTAGATTTTTTGTACCTATTGAAAATCAAAGTAAACATGTAAGCAAGTTACTGACAACAGTAGAAAAGGCTACAGTGTAGTCCATCCTAGAGAATAAACTATAGTTTAAAAGTTAAAAGAGGTGAATGCTGTGCTCATAGACTAAATGGGAAATGTTACTTTATCTCTGGTATATTCACAAATGATGAAAAGTTTCTCTTGCATCTCTTTCTTGGTGTTGTAGTGATGAAGTAATCAGCTCTTTGAACAAGGCATGATATAAATACAAAATGTCAGCTGATTTTGGACTCAGTTTGCTGTGTCATCATGTGGTTTGTTTTAAAAATTAGACTTAAGTCTCTTCTATCTGGAATGCTCTCCTCTCATCTCTGTTTCTTAGAAATTAAATATTCAAAGTCCTGATAAAATCTTCTCTTGAAAGGACCTTTTCTTTCTATTTACTTAGCTCCTTTCTTCCAACTGAAAGATGTTTAACCTTCCTGGTTGTAAACTTCTGGAAAACCCAGGCCATTACTGAAAGCCATTTACCTTTGTCCATGATGCAAATTGGACATGGGCCCACCCCAATTTCTTCCTGCCATCTAGAGAGTGGCCTCTGCCTTATTCTTATATTTTATTCCCCATATCTCTATGAAATACCTTGTTTGCCTATATTCAACAGATTTGCAATAAATTAAAATCATTAGGACACATGTATAGTAAGTTCCTCCTTCAAACATGAGCTTCTCCTCTAGAATATTACATTCCCTGAGGGAAGAGACTTCATCATCTCCTTCAAAGAGCTTCCATTCTACAGATGGTTCATATGATCTCCCCCCAGTGCTACACGCCCAGCATCTAGAACTGCCAAGCACATACTAGGCACGCTCATTGCTCATTTTGAATTATTGATATATGTGCCTTTATATTTCCAGAGCCTTTCCTTACATTTTATATAAAGTTTATGATCAGGAATTCTCATTTGCCAACCCTTGATTTGCTTTTTTTTTTTTTGATTTTATTTTATTTATTTGACAGAGACAGAGACAGTGAGAGCAGGAACACAAGCAGGAGGAGTGGGAGAGGGAGAAGCAGGCCTCCCGCCGAGAAGGGAGCCCGATGTGGGACTCGATCCCAGGCCTCCGGGATCATGGCCTGAGCCGAAGGCAGCCGCCCAATGACTGAGCCACCCAGGCGCCCCCTTGATTTGCTTTTTAACAGGGCTTTTCTATCTTAGCCTGATATCTGTATTAGACTGTTAGTCTAATAACTATATTCCACACTTTTGGGACTCATGTACTCTTTGATATTGGATTTAGGTAAGTAGTAGTTGACTGTTACTGGTACTGAAAAGGATTTTTTATTGCAATGTTTACAGATCTCTTCTCACTTCAAGAAGCGTTTTTCTATTAGTAATCATGATGTTTGGTTAACTGATTAAAAACAAGGTAAAGCTTCTGGTATACAGAAGGAATTAATTTATAGGGAAAATATTAAAATGAATTTAATCAAAAGGCTCTGAAATTGCTGTATGTTAAGCTTTAGCATAACAAGAAAAGCTATAATTAAGGAGGATCTGGGAGACCCGTGTTGTTGAATACAGGTGAAAATGCCCTAGGAAGGAACACAGACTATAGTCTTTAAACAACATCTTCCCTACAAGACGGAATGAGACTAATGACTGGTAAGGCTAAGTTAAAGAAGTTAATCTCACCAGAACCAATATTCAAGCAAGAAAACATTGCTGCACATTCTCTAATTTAATGCCAGACAGAGAGGCCTCTAAAGACCCAGGATGTATGCAAAACCTAAGGAAAATTTAGATGATTAATTTTCACTCTAATCTCAGAGTTACCAGGACTCACCATAAAAGGCCAGCAGAAATACCATTTTGGAAATAAAGAGTTTTCTGCCTCAGAATAACTCACTTCATTTAAAGGAGATAAATATTTTTCATTGCATCTTTTTTTTTTACCTCAACAAAGGATATACTTAGGCTGGTGACTATAATGTGTTATAAAAAGTAGAAATTAAGAACAACAAGAAATTAAGAATACAGTACCAGTCCAGCCTGTCTAATATAAGAGAGAATAGACGGCTGTACTGGATACATTGATCTGAACAGAAGGGGAAATGAGTAATTCTGTGCTCAGAAAGTGTGAAAACTGACTAGTCAAAACTGAATTTGGTCACATTAGAGCAAACGCTGAATTATTTAAAATAATACAATTCACACCTATAAGAATTAATGAGAAGCCTAAGTGAATTTTCATAAAATTTTTTTAAATAGGTTTTTTTTTTAAGATTTTATTTATTTATTTGAGAGAGGGCGAATGAGAGAGAGCACATGAGAGGGGTTAGGGCCAGAGGGAGAAGCAGACTCCCTGCCGAGCAGGGAGCCCGATGCGGGACTCGATCCAGGGACTCCAGGATCATGACCTGAGCCGAAGGCAGTCGCTTAACCAACTGAGCCACCCAGGTACCTGAATTTTAATAAAAATTTAAAAATGTGACCTAAGTCTATACTTTTTCAGATTTTTCATTAGCTTTCTTATGGTTAATAATTGATAGATTTAAGATTTAAGAGTTGTACCTCCTCCACTTTGTACACTTGTTTGTTTGTAATTTATTAAAAATCCAAGTTGTGTTTTTGTTCCTTCCTTCCTCTTTTTTTTTTTTAAATAGGAGCTTAGAAAAATTCTTGGTGTATGTGTTTTAAGAAATTAAAAGTATCCGCTTTTTCCTACTTATCTGGAATGAAAGTTCCTCTTGTGACCAGAGGGATATATCAATATTGGCATTACCATTTTAGAGATTTCAGGTCTTTTCATATGGTGG